TCCAATGGTGGATTCTGGAACAGCCTCGAGCTCTCAGCCACCCACCTACGACATGCTGGGGGGCCTCATTTATTCTAACGGCTTAATCGTTTAAAAAGAAGGGAAAGGGTGTAATGTGACAGTGGAAGATTGTAGTCTTGTCTCTCATTTCTTACCCAAGTGAACAAGAAGCTTTGACAGAATTCTCCCTAATGCAGACTTTCTCAGACTTGTCTAATAAGATACATTAGATGTTAAAAATACATGTTTCTGGGTTGCACTTTAGAAGTACCCGAGGGAAACCACTAGGGGCATAGCCTAGGAACGTGCATTTTAACAGCACCCACCCACCCACCCACCCACACATACACACACACTCCCCCAAACCCTTCACATTATCCACACCCCGATACACTGACAATTAGCGGAATCAAACTACTTGGGGGGAAATTCCGTTTCTGGGCATCCACTCTGCTCTCCATGTGAACCAGTGGGCCATACCCCAAATCCTTGCTTCCCTGCAGGACTAAGACATGTGCCCTTGAGAGGGAATGAGGCCCTTGTTAAAGACACTAGCCCGGGAGATACTAGATCCGGCTGGTCAAGGGCCCCTCCATTGCAAAACTTTGGGTCCATCCTGACTTCCCTGAAGCTACGATCCCGCTCGTGTAAACAGAGCCATGTTCCGTATACTCTCTGGCTCACGGAAATAATGGAGCCCCCACATCTGATGAGCATGAAAGCATGATTAAAACAACATGCAGATCCCAGTAGTGTGCTACAACACGCCGGTGAGAACTGATTGGCAGTATCCTAGGAATTTTTTCAGTTGGTTATCGAACCTTTGATGGTGGCTTGACATGGACAGTGATGGGAGTATTTACACCCCCGGAATGAATGAATGTTACAGATTAGGACTGTGTGTGTGTGTGTGTGTGTGTGTGTGTGTGTGTGTGTGTGTGTGTGTGTGTATAGAGAGAGAGAGAGACAGCCAGTTATTAGCGGTCTGTTAGCTCGTCTCTGAATATATAGCATGATTGCGTTCTTTTACATCTAAGGATTTGGGTTGGCTAATTTTGGTGTGTGATGGTCTTGTTTATTTGCATTTTTTAATACTAAAATTTATAAAATAAAAAAATAAGTATGACCAAAAGGAAGACTGCAAGTCTGAGCCCAAGAAAGTGGTCATGTCTTCCGCTCCCCAGCCTTCCGTCAGCTGTAGCTGTTTGTCCACGACAGCAGCAGGACTCAGCCTCTCCTCCAAGGGTCACCACTAAGCAAGGCCCTAGTGACCACATCTGACTTGGAGCCCCAGCAGAAAAGAAGTCCCCAGAATTGAAAGGCCTGGAGGACCACCAGGGGAAACGTGTGGTGTTCCTGCACAGCCCAGGCAGGAGCTCAAGGGAGGGTTTGTAATGTGTGCTCCAGAAGAAAGGTGCCAAGGCCTCCCGTGGAATTGATAGGGACTTTTAACAGGACTTTACGAAATCAAGAACTCTATTTCTCCATCTTCAGAAGGAAGCCACCTTTGACACTGTGATGGTACAAAGTCAGAGTTAGCTTTTCATCTCAAAACTCAAGTGATCTTTACACTGTTCTGTCAGGAACACAACTGTTGACTCTCAAACGCTAGCTACATAAGAGGCAGAGCAGGAGCACAGGAGATGGGCACACAAGAGGAACAGGGACCATCACTCAAGCCCTTCTCACCCAGCATGCATCTTGCTCTTCCTCAGCCCAAGCTTTGAGATGCCCAAGACAGATGAAGGAGGCTCCTGCCCTAAATCCTTGTTCCCTGGAAACTGAAAAGACAAAAATTGTTGATCTGCATTGAGACCCATATCTAAAAATCACATGAGGCTGGCTAGAATTAAGTAATTCTTGTAAGAGGAAAGAAACCTCTCATGGCCACTGAGACAGACAATAGCTCCTTACTTGCTTTGTGCGTGGACCTATCGGGAATACTGAGCTACAAGATGCTTTGAGCCATTCGGTATCTTAAACCAAGTGGCCATCTCTCTCCAGGGTGTGACAAGCTCAATGATGAGTCAAGACAGCTACACTCAGGATGTCAATGCCATTGGTCGTTTATTTACATGTAAGTTCAATGCTAGAAGTGTCTAGCTGGAGAGGCCCAGGGAGGTTCCTCAAGAGCTCAGCTGGGATGCTAGGAAGGCAAGACTGAACTCCCAGGGAGAAGGAGGGATAATGGACCGGACAAAGACTGTGGGAAAGTTTCCACCACCAGGCCAATTTGGCTGGAACCATGAGTTCATCCCAGGAACCAATAAAAGATCATGTTCGCAAAGGAAGTCAAGCTCACGCTGAGGAAAATCGGTTTTGGCATGTGTATACAAGAGAAGCCAGTGACAGTATATTCATTCTCTGCTGTGGTGGAACAAATTATCGCAAGTTTAGAAATATAAACCACAACCACTTTAACCTCACAATTTCTGGAAGTCAGAACACTTGCGCATGTAGTCGGGGTCTTAGTTTATGAGACAGAACCTACGCTGTGGGCGGGGTTGTGAATAGTCCTCCCGACATGTTCAGGTTGTCAGTGGGATTCAGTGTTTTACAGCCGTAGCAGTGTGGTTCTTACCATCTGGCCGGATGTCAGCCAGGACTTCTCTAGGCATTTTACCATTCCCTGCCGGAGAACCAACAAGAGCAGTTTTATCTTCGAGGCAGGATAATTTCTCATGCTTTGAAGCTCTTTGAATTCAGGAACAACTCAGTCCCTTTTAAGGTTCACCTGATTAGGTCAGACTCTCCCAGAACAATTTCCCTTTTGATTAACCCAGAGTCTACTGATTAGTAGATTAATCACGGAAGGATGTTACATTATACCCGCAGGCCTATCCCACATGCAATGGGCGATGATTAGACATGGCAGAAATCCTGGCGTTCTTCTGTCTCATGGTTTTTAGTTATGGAGGTAGGGACGACGTCATGAAATTGGTGTAAGCAGTCTGGCAGCAGCAGACCACCTAGACAGCAGATCATAGAAGGGCTTAGGCTAAGCAGAGAAATGATCACAATGGATGGTTTATGGCATCTGTTGCATTTCTGCCTAGAACAGCTGAGTCCCTCGGATACCATGCACTTGTGTGCGTTCCCCCCAACTTACCTTTTCAGTTATTCTCCATCACATCATCCAACACATTTCTTTAGTTGTATTTTTCATTTTATGTTAACATGTTTGTTTGCATTTGTATTGCCCATCCCTTCTCTGAACTCTAAGCCCAATGAGAATAGAGTCAGTGTTGCGTTCGTGGGTCTCTATCCATCCAGAATGGTGCCTCACATACAGAAGACTGTGTATTAGAGACAGCGTGCCGCAAGGGCTGGAGAAACACCCAATGAAAAGTGGATTGAGTAAGCAAGTGATATGGAAAGGTCCAAGTTCAGTCAAAAGGCCTGGGTGTTGTGTCTGGACTTCTTGAAGAGAGCAAGAACCAGAACCAGATGAAGGAATGTGGGGAGCCATGGTTTGTTTCGAACATCTCGGACTAGGGAAGTCCGACAAGCAGTGGAAATGTGAGTGAGGAATGACCAAAGAAAACACACTAGCCAATGACCATAAGGGATAGACAGACTTTGATGGTGGGGGATGGTCAGTCTTCATTATCAGTTTGGTTGGACTGGGAACTGCCTGTGAGGTTAGTAATCAGTCCCCTGAGTGTATCTGTGTGTGCATTCTGAGATGATTAGATCTTAAAGGATCTGGGATGGTCACTGGTACAATACACTGATGGACTAAAAATATAAATTGACTATTGAAAGGTGATGGAACTGTGGAAGGTGAAGCCTTCTTGGAGGAAGTAGGTCATTAGGAAAACGCCCTGGAGGGTATATACTGGCCCTGGCTCCTGCCTGGGTCTCCACTCTGCATGCTGGCTGCTTGAGATGAACAGCCTGTTCTTCCACACACTCATACCACCGTAGTGTTCAGCCTCACTGAACTCCCAAAGTAATGGAGCCAGACAACCTCTAAAACTGGGAGCCAAAAAGTCCTTCCGCTTTTTAAGGTCTTTCTCTCAGATGGTTGTCATGGCCATGAAAAAGACTAACATACCATGTGCATGAAAACTGGATTCCAAAGTAAGCCGGATTCCACAAGATATTAGCTCTCTTTTCCAAACCTCTCATAGTTGGAATGCTTATCATTCTGTGAGTAGAATGTATATTCGCAGACAAGCAGGGAGTAAGCATCTCAGTTGGGCACATACTGTTGTCTGGAAAACAGTGGGAGAGCTTCAAGACGCACATACCCACACCCAATGTCTTTAGTGTGCAGGTCCTGTGAGCAGAAGGCAGGTTTTAGGTTGTGCTGGGGATCAAGGAGAAGCCCACCCGCTCACAACTTGCTGTTTTACTGTTGACTCTCTTGTCCCTCTCCCTCTCTCTGTGGGTCCTTAAATGAGTTCATCTCTCTCAGCCTTTCCGCTATTGTCACTCAACATTGTTTCCTTCTTTAAAATATCTTCTATTTATTCTTTGACAATTTCATACATGATTGCATTGTATCTTGATCATACCCACCCTCAACTCATGCCTCCCACTGACCTCCGCACCCCAACACATCCTTTCAAGATATCCCTTTCCTCTCTCCTTTCTTTATAACTCACTGAGAGTGCTCTGTCTGTCTGTCTGTCTGTCTCTCCTCCCCTCCCCTCTGCCATCTCCACTCTCCCCTCTTTGTACCCACTGAACCCAGTGCTTCCTGCTGGAATGTTGACATATTTGTTGGTCTTGTCTATGCAGTAACCATAGCGGCAGTAAATTAATGAATGCCAAGGCCATGTCACATGCAGATGGCAGCATTCCATAGCACTCCTCCCCATCATCCAGCTCTTACATTTTTTTCTGCTCCTTCTCCTGGGATCAAACACTTTTCTTCACTCTCTTCAACTGAGTAACTTTCCTCTCGTCATATGCTTCAATATGAGTTGCCCTCTAGTAACCTCTTTCAACTGGTGTTCCCATCCTGCCTCACACCCGTCCTTACTCTTTTACAGGTACACAGCGGTGGTCATGCCAGTTCACTATCAGCATGGCACCGGGCAGAGCTCCTGTCGGCGTGTGGCACTCATGATTACAGCTGTGTGGGTGCTGGCCTTTGCTGTGTCCTGCCCTCTGCTCTTTGGTTTCAACACAACAGGTAAAACTTCCTGAGCTCATGAGGTTTACATCATACCTGAGTGGTTGTGAGTGGTATCCACCCCAGGATTCCCATCCCTATTCAGTGTAATCAAGTGGGTATGCTGTAGTCTGCAAATTGATGGCCTTTGTTGGGTATAAAGTAAGTATAGAGCAAAACCTCACCAATTATTGTCATGAACTCATAGTTTTGACCCACCTTATGAAAAGTCTGTCTCATCCCTATTTTGAAAGAAATGCCATTGCATTCATTGGAAGAAATGTTAAAGAAATGTAAATAAAACACAAAACTATGTTAATAATTCAGGTGGGATTTGCTAATAAAATGATAACTATTCATAACCAACCTGCAATGCAAAGTAACATATCATAAAAGCCTGGAATAAATTATATATTTCTAACTTTTTCTCCAATAAGAATCATTTCTGACATTTGAAAACTAATTCTGAAATATATACTTTTATTTTTAATATGCAAAATTGTGGCTATGATAGTTGGCACGTGGCTCATCTCCTGGGTGGATGGATGGATGGATGGATGGATATGATAATGTCTATATTTGAGATGATTTGTATTTTAACCATAAGACACCAATCCACATTTGCACCTCACATGATCTTTCTTTGGGGCTCAGGAAATCCACATGTTGAACGAAAACTATTGAAAATGTATGATGAGAGGACAGGGAAGGAAGAAGTGATATACTTATATTAGAATCTCAAACATGAAAAAATATTTAAAAAGAAGATGTATCATGAGAGGAAAAGGAAGGGGGAAGTTTTGTAATTATAATCTCAAAATTAAAGAAATAATTTTTAAAAATTAAAAAGAAAATGTATAAGGAATGAGCATGTCTACTGAGAAAAACACCTGAATGAGCAGTGTTTCAGGATCATGCAGAGTTCTTATTTTGTCCATCTGAATGGTCTCATTCAATTCCTGCTAGATTCCAGACTTGTGAATTCCTGATCTATATGTACTTACTAGTCACAAAGCCATATGTTTATGTACATTCAAATATTATTGAGACATTGTCATAGGTAAATCCAGGAAGATGCCAACATATAAACAATCTTCCAGGCATCATGTCATGGACAAGGATTTTAGAAGTCAGAATACACTGAGGAAGGCAGACAGAGGCTGCGCAATCAGAAAACTCTAGGTGAACTCCAGCTGTCCTGTCTACCAGCTGTGCCTCCTTGAACAAGCTTCCGGACCTTGCTGAGCTCAACTTCCTCGTGGATGAATTTAAGACAGTAATAGAGTGGTACATAGAGGAACAACTTCAAATGTATATTCAATCAGCATATCTGGTTACAAAGTTTTCTATATTTACTTTTTATAAATGGCTTCCTACATTTAAAAAAAAGCCCGAAGATTTCATCTCTGAAGCTACATCTTCATGTGAGCTTTATAATATCTGACATAGTAACATATGTATCCTTCTTCTTATTCCTGTTCAGAGTTATAACAAAACTACATGTACCTTTATATGTGCTGTAGGAGATTTTTTTCAAGGCAAATTTTAGAGCATAGTAGAAATTGAATGAAGCAATTCAAATGGACAAAATAAGAAATCTAGACTTAATTATTTTTAGTAAATAATTTTTTAATTCTATGTACGTGAGTGTTTTGCCTGCCTGTATGCCTGGTCTTTGAACTATGTATGTGCCTGATGCCCACAGAGGCTAGAAGAGGGCACAGGACACCCTGGAACTGGAGTTAAACACAGTTGTGAGCACCATGTGGGCTATGGGAAAGGAATCAAGTTCCTCTGGAGTAGCTGAACCATCTCTCCTGCCCATAGATACTTCTTACTGTGTACATTAACACTAGGCTCTTATCCTACATGTTATGTAACTCCCTTATAGAGGCCTCTGTATTCAACAGGAATTAAGTTGGGATAAGATATATAGACGTGTCAAGCACATACTACCTTCTCAGGGTCAGTCTTGTTTCTGTGATACATTAAAAGTTAAGAAACCAAGCTATCAACAAACGCTCTCCCGGTTAACCCAGAATGTTCATAACAATTGGTCTGTGAGGTAGTTTGAATGTAATTGGCCCCCATAATCCCATAAGGGAGTGGCATTATTAGGAGGTGTGCCTTTGTTGAAGTAGGTGTGGCCTTGTTGGAGGAAGTGTGTCACTGTAGGGGTGGGCTTTGAGGTCTCTTTTGCTCAAGCTTTGCTCAGTGTGACCCTCAGCCCATTTCCTGTTGCCTGCAAGACACAGGACTCTCAGCTACATGGTGGTAGGGAACCAGAACCATGTCTGCCTGCACGCCACCATGCTCCCTGCCATGACGATAATGGACTAAACCTCTGAACTGTAAGCTGCCACCTCAATTAAATGTTTTCCTTTCAAGACTTGCTGTGATCATGGTGTCTCTTCACAGCAATAGAAACCCTAACTACGACAGTCTGTTACCATCTTATTCTTCATTACTCATTACTTTGATTTTTGTTTTGTTTTGTTTGCTTTTGTTTTGTTTTTAACAAAATGACAATTTATACCCTGGAGCACATGTACACACCACAAAGCATTGTCCATTGAAATGGTTATGGGAACTACGTGAAAGTAAAATGTCTTTTGTGGCCAGTGTTAAATGTTCCCTGTGGGTTAGTCAGATAGCTAAGTCACTGTGCTACCTTGTTTCCGTGTGCAAGTGCCCTGTGTGTGGGACTCTCACATGGGAACTGTGTACCACTGCTTGACCAAGGCACTGCTTATCTGCTGGCCCCCAGCACATGTCACCCTTTGCTGGGATGAGCGCAGTTCCCCAGGCTGAGCCCGGTTCCCTTACATATTCTGGGATGCTGGTGGAGGAGGTCCTTTTCCCTCTCACAGGCACACACACATCCTGAGACTAGCTGAAACCGTCCCCAAATCTGACAGTAGACAGAGTTCCCAGCTAATGTCACCGTGCCAAGGGAAGGATGATGAGCTAATTGCAGCATGTTGGCACCAGTGACTTCATTATTGTTCTAGAAACAAAACCCAGGAAAATCGTCCCAGGATTTTCAAATTGAGAATCAAAAAAAGCCTTGTGACCTAGTGTGTGTGGTATAAGCCCTGCTGCTTCCCCCGGGGTCTCTGGGCTTTATGTTTTTATGCACTTGGTGGTTGGTTTGGTTTACATTTGGAGGTCATTTTGTTTGTCCTTGCTTTTGAGACAGCAGCTCTCGAAGTTGCCCAGGAAGGCCTTGAATTTATAATCCATCTGCCTTAGCCTCCCGAGCAGCTAAGATTATATGCTTCTGCCACCAAGTCAGGCTTCCTCTTATGTTTAAGTTTCTTAGCAACACTGTACTAAACCCTCCAATTAGTCTCATAGTGTGTCAAATGCAAGGTCCGTTATAAGGGCCAGTAGCTATTAGGTGGTGTCAGTGTTACGATCATGTAACAGAAAGTTTTCTGTGCCTTACACTGCAACTAAACACCTGCTCCAAGGAAGATATAAACAGTGGTGATTCTCTGGGTGGTCACAGCAAAGACCAGCTGCCCCTTCCTAGAACACAGTTCAGGGAATTCATGAGCAGAGCTCAAGCGTAAAGAATCCAGCCTTAGCCGGGCAGTGGTGGTGCACGCCTTTAATCCCAGCACTCAGGAGGCAGAGCCAGATGGATCTCTGTGAGTTTGAGGCCAGCCTGGGCTACCAAGTGAGTTCCAGGAAAGGCGCAAAGCTACACAGAGAAACCCTGTCTCGAAAAACCAAAAAAAAAAAAGAATCCAGCCTTGGTCTCTGACACAATCTGACCCTCATGATGTACTGTCCTTATCCTGATAGAAGTGGCCTGTCTTGGTCAGTGTTCTACTGCTGTGAGGAGACACCATGACCATGGCAACCATTCTAAAAGGAAGCATTTAATCGGGGCTGCCAGTCCATTATCACCGTGGCACGAAGCACAGCACCAGGCAGGTGTGGTGCTGGAGGAGTAGCTGAGCGCTACATCCTGGTCTACAGGCAGGGAGTAAGACACTGGGTCTAGCATGGACATTGGAAACCTCAAAGCCTACTCCCGGGGACTCACTCCCTCCAACAAGGCCACACCTCCTAACCTTTTCAAATAGTACCACTTCCGAGTAACCAAGCATTCACGTAGGAGCCTAGGTGGTCTTTCTCACTCCAACCAACAGGGCCCCTCCAGCAACTTCCCCATGGACAAGTTCATTCAATACAAATGACTCTTTCCTACCAGTCTGTTGCTACTCCTTCTCTGACAAGTAGAGGCAGAAAGGGCCTCCGGTGTTGCCAGTTCCACCTGATTTGGAGCATAGCTTGACTTCAAGAAATGTAACAAGAGCTTTTCATTTAAGGCTGTGTCCTGCCACTTGTGATACTGAAGTAAAGACCACGGAGGCAAGCGGAACTTCAGCCGCTTTGAACTTAGAGTTGCTTCTGTCCTTTGGGAAAGGGCAGCAGGAGGCAGAATCTTGGATGGGAGAGAGTTCCAGAGCTGTAGAGCCTGGCTGAATGGTATTGCCCCAGCTCCACCAGGGGCCCAGAAGTTCAGTCAACCATCAAATCAACAGCCTCTAATGATGCAGAGGAAGATGTATGATGGAGCAAGAGGGCAACTCTGAAGATCTCCGAAAGAGCTCAAGTCCTTTCATTTCACAGATAAGAAAAAGAGTATTTGAATTTCTGTTAAATCAGACACCACTGTGTGGTTTTTAAAAGAGAGGACTAGAATGAACAAGCAGTAGCTGGTGATCAGGTTTAGGAATTCTTCTGGGTAGGGGGACTTAAAGTTAAGAAAATCTTATCGGCTGGATGGATTTTCCTTTAGGAAAAAGAAAATGGTTATTTATTTGATTTCAGCAATGGAAATGTCATCCAGCTCTCAGAACACTGGAGATGGGGAACGTGGCTGTTCAAAAGTTAAAAAGAAGAATAAAAGCACTCTGTTTGAAGGGTAGTGACTCATCCTAAATCAGACTCATCAGCATCTGCTGTCTTCGGAATTGAAGTGAGGTCAAATTCTTCAACAAGTCTAAAGTTCATCAGTCTTTCACGTCAACCTTCTCTTGACCTTGCTGTTCACATCACTATGGAGCTCAAGTTCTCCGCCTAACTCACAGAAACCTCCAGGGCCCTTCTTGTTTCAGCTATTTGTTACTTCTTCTTTTTTCTTTGTGTGTGTGTGTGTGTGTGTGTGTGTGTGTGTGTGTGTGTGTGTGTGGTGTAGTGTGTGTGTGGTATGTGTATATGTGGCATGTGTGGTGTGTGTATGTGGTGTGTGTGTGGTGTGTGTGTGGTGTAGTGTGTGTGTGGTATGTGTATATGTGGCATGTGTGGTGTGTGTGTGTGGTGTGGTGCGTGTGCGTGTGTGTGTGTGTGTGTGTATGTGGTGTGTGTGTGGTGTGTGTGTGTGTGGTGTGGTGTGTGTGTATGTGGTGTGTGGTGTGTGTGTGTGGTGTGTGTGTGTGGTGTGGTGTGTGTGGTGTGGTGTGTGTGGTATGTGTATATGTGGCGTGTGTGGTGTGGTGTGTGTGTATGGTGTCATACGTGTGTAGTTTGTGTGTGTGTGTGGTATGGTGTGTGTGTGTAGTGTGGTGTATGGTGTGTGTGTATGTGTGTGTGTGTGTGTGTGTGTGTGTGTGTGTGTGTGTGTGTGTGTATGTATGTGTCTGCCCTCTGCTGTGCCTACCCCCACTCCCACCCCAAGTACTGAGGTTCCAGGCATACCTGACTTTGAACGTGCACGCTGGGGATCCAGATTCACATCCTTGGGCATCCCCAGCAAGCACCTTCCCCACTGGGCCATCTTCCTAGGGCCGTCTAGCCTAGAACTCTGAACCTAGCATGTCCTCCTTACAGCTGAGTAAGGAGATGTGTCTTTGCCCTCACCCCCACCCCTTTTCTTTCTCGAATTTTAGAAAGTGATATTAGAGTCCCCGTGCCTACCTGGCCTTCCCCAGCATCCTGCAGCCAGTGAGTGCTTGTGTGCCTAGATAAAACGCTCATCTGTACATTTTCCTATGTGTTCTCCTCATTCGCATATCCACTCAGTAACTACCATGCTCCCACACAGTGCTGATTTAAATCAATCATCAGACAGAGGCACTGTGTCTCCTGAGGGAGCCTCAGCTGTCCAAACCACCTCTGGAGGACTCACCCAAGAAGCATTCAGGACTGCTGTTGCATGAAGCCTCTCGCTGCCCTGATGACTGGATGCCCACCCACAGCACTCATCAGCCCCTGACTCCGGTGTCTCCCTGCCTGGTGTGCAGATGTGAGACCCCCTAGCACGGTGGGAGGGCTTCTGGAGGAGGCTTCAAAGCTTGATCAGAGTGTGGACAGCAGTTGACTTCAGTGGAGAAGGAGGAAGGGACGACAAGGCACGTCCAGCGATTGTAGATGAGGCCCATCATGGTCAATGACCCTGAAACAGCTACTGGCTCCGGCTCCGTTCTCTCTTTCCTTCATCCACACAGTTGCAATATTTTTAATGGAAAAATAAATGCTTGCACATGATAAAACATTCATAAGGTGTAATGAGATACACACAGACTTCTATCTGTGTCAGTCTGCCTCCCACCCCAGATTTTCAGGGCCCGTGCGTGTGTGTGTGTGTGTGTGTGTGTGTGTGTGTGTGTGTGTGTGTGTGTGTGAGAGAGAGAGAGAGAGAGAGAGAGAGAGAGAGAGAGAGAGAGAGAGACATACTATTCCTACTCTTGACTCTGTTATTTTCAAAACTAGTTCATTTATGGAAGTCAGCCTCCCAGTAGCAAGGAGGGCAGAGAAAGGGAGAGACGGTGTGCACAGGGACAAATGAGGAACACTCAGCTCACCAAGGCCGGCAGCGAGCTAAATCTTGGGAAAGTACGTCCTCTGGCCTTTCTTACTAACAGAACACATGCTGAGACTCCTCCTCACCACAGGTGGCACTGAGATCTGGGCCAGCCAGTGACAGCAGGCGAGCTGACTTCCATAATGGCAGGGCTGATCACGACTCCATGGCTCCCTAGAGACAGAGAAGGCCCACCAGCTGCCACCCCACGCCTGCCCCCAAACTCATTTTCCCCAGAACAGAAGAAGATGTTGGCTGGGTGATCACTACTCAGGGCCGTCTGTGCTGCTTGTGAGGGATGCTGATGCAAAGTCTGGTGAGATGGCATCAATTTCATCCCATCTCCAACAGAATGAGAGGATCTGGGAGCAGCCTGGAAGGATGCTGGGCTATGCTGTCACTGAAATGCCTCCCTGGGTGCTGGACACACTCTCTCTATTCCTTTAGCTCTTAATTTTCTCTCTTCCCTTCCCTGCAAATATTGTTCTCTTGTGAGTCTTTCTCCAAACTTTTTATTTCAATTGATACTTCCTGTCTTAGGTCCAAAAAACCCAGAAGAGGTAAACAACAACGATATAACAAATAAAAAAAATAAATGATAATAATCATAGCAATCATTCATCCTCATTATTTCTCATTGCTGTTATGCAAGAAATATTGTTATCCTCTTGTGGAAAATGAAACTAAAGCTAGTTACCTCAGGCGATAATGCCAAGAGGAAACAGCTGATAAGCAGCAGGTCCACCATGGCTTACACCCAGGGCTGTCTGTCCTCAACCCATTTCAGGAGCCCAAGAAACAGAACTAGAGCACAGAATGTGGCCACGGTCCTCTCCGCCATCTCACATCTCAGGCCACATCTCCCGAGGTCAGATCTGGGGCTGAGCTGCCAACTCTTCTGGGCAGACTGGAGCAGGTGTGCCAACAGCTGTTGCTGATGTCGTGGGGTGAGGCACAGACGTGCCCTGTCCCGAGAGTAGAGGAAGAGCGGGAAAGTTGAAATGACAGAAGGAAGATCGGTTTGGGGTCAGACTGGCTGGAGAAAAGCATCTTTCAGGCAGTTGTTGCCTTGGGCCACTTAATAAACCTTTCTGAACTCAGCCTGTGTATCTAAGGATAGAAACAGTGATGTCCCCTCCCGTTATGATTGGGTAAGAGCATGTGTATGAAGCCTTCGGCCTGGCAGATGTTAGCTTGCCTCCCTTCTCCGGTTCAAGATGGAGCACGTCTCTGGCCTTGTGTTGGGTGCTGGACGACTCTCCACATCTTCTCGTGAAGAAGGCAAAGCCACAGGGCTTTCCAAAGAGAGGTTAGAGTGGTGCTCTGGGCCATACATTAGGGGCAAGAACTCTTCATTTTTTTTAAACATTTCTTTACTTTTGTCTTTATGTATAAGTGTGAGTGAGCACCAGCATGTATGTATGTGCACAGTGTGTGTGTGTCTGGTACCCACAGAGGCCAGAAAACAAAGTGTTGGATCCCCTGGAACTGAAGTTACAGGTGGTTGAGAGCTGCCATGTGGGTGCTGGAAGATGAACCTGAGTCCTTTACAAAAGCAGCAAATGCTCCCAAGCCCTGAGCCATCTCCACAGCTCAGGCGATAAGGACCCTTTTGAGTTCCCAGTCTCCTACCCAGCTCTCTTTCCATCCTATCCAGTGCTGGAATTCCCTGGTTGCTGTTTTCTAGCCCATCACCACCTGCCTCACCCCCTGGATTCAGAAGATGCCTTTTCCTTTTATTACATTCAGCCAGCTCTTCTTGCCTCCACACCAGCAAGCCCTTTCCTAGGTGTGCCATCCTCCCAGAAGCCTCTGCCCTCCTGTTCTGTGGCCCTCCTTAGCCTCCCAGGCTACATCCCTCTGGGTTACAACTGACCATTTGCATGGTAGAGATCATCTGTCTAGCTAGACTGTTGGCTCCTTCAAGGGCAGACACCATGTCTCACTCATCTTCACAGCCTCCGTTTAGATCAGTGTCTGGAATGCAGTCATTGGGAGATTTGCTTTTGAAGCCAACTGCAAGAGGTACGAAGATGAATTAGCTTTCTTCCTTCAGAGCACTGACAACATGGGTCCCTGAAAGCGCGCATTCCTACCCACACCCCCACATCAGGTCATGTGAACTCATGCTCAGCGCTGCACACTGAGGATGAACGCTCGGATAATTGTGTTACCTTCTCCCCATCTCTCACCCACAGGGGACCCCAACATCTGCTCCATTTCCAACCCTGACTTCGTCATCTACTCTTCAGTGGTGTCCTTCTACGTTCCCTTCGGGGTGACTGTCCTGGTCTATGCCAGGATCTACATGGTGCTGAGACAAAGGAGACGGAAACGGATCCTCACTCGCCAGAACAGCCAGTGCATCAGCATCCGACCTGGATTCCCGCAGCAGGTAAGTGCCTGGCAGGAACTAGAGGAAGGCACAGCAGCCCCCAGCCTCCAGTCACATGTCCATCCGTGCAGGTGGTGCCGGTATCAGCACTCAGGAGGCAGATTTCCCATCACCTTCTACTCAGCTGATGTTGTCTGTGCTTTAAGGGTAGGAAATCCAATATTAAGAGTGTCCTGGGTCTCCCTAGATCTCAACCTACTTGATAAGCTGATAGCATACTTTCCACTACTCTTCAGAGCCTTCCACCACCAGCAGCTCAGACATCCCACAAGGTCTGATTTTATTGAACTGGGATGGGGGCAGGGTAGTACTCCACTGTACTGTACCATGCACTGCTTTCCCAGGGCTTTTTTTTTTTTTTTTTTTTTTTTTTTTTTTTTTTTTTTTTTTTGTCTCCTCAAACCACTCATTCCAAGAATCATCCACTGATGCCTGTCTTCCTGATCTGTCCCTGTGTCGAGGCACTGACCAGCTGGTGGGTCTTCCTAAGCTCTACAAAGGATGTTTGGAGCCTCAGCACTGATCTTTCAGTTCCTTGAGCTTTAGATTTTCCTCACATTACTGCCCGGCATATGGTGGCTTCCCTGCCATGAACACCAATCACTTCCAACCAACTAGCGTAAGGACCATTATATCAAACAGCCACTGTCATCATGGAGCTTGGAATCTGGACACGAAAATAAACCTCACCTCCACTCAAAAAGCAATGAAAAAAACGCAAAACTGCCGGGGATGTTTGCCACAGGTGAAGTGAAGGAATGAGGTACCCAAATATAAAATGCAATAGAGGTTAAGAGGGTGACCAGTATGTTCAGGACAGGGCTTCCCGGGGAGAGAAAGAACTGAGTTTAGTCTTAAAGACAGAACCAGTTTGGGGGTCTAGACCACTCTCTGGTGACCTGTGATCCGACTCTCAGAGTCAAAGTCCTAGGACTTGCGTAGAAAAAAGAGTATTGGTCCCCATGAAATGGGGTGCCATGACCTAAGGCTTCAGATATGAACGTAGTGCCTTCCAAGTGCTGTCACGCTACATAATTACATATGACATGGTTCAGTTTTGTTGAGATTATCCCACAACTGATTGTTTCTCCTTCAAATACCCCAGCCTTCCTGTCTGCGGCTGCATCCCATTCGGCAGTTTTCAATAAGGGCCAGGTTTCTGTCAGATGCCACGGGACAAATGGTAAGTAGGCCATGTCTTGGACCAAGGGAAAAGAGTGAGAGGTCTTTTTCCCAAGATGTTGTTTTGTCTTGATTTCATTCCTACGGCAACATGGAATTCCTCACTGATCCCCCCACATGTATTTGTAATATAAGCCAAGATCCCAGGGTCTGCGTGATTGAAGTCTCGGAATGGGTTTCATCCAGTGACATTCGGAAATTATGGGACTAGTGGGATAGATCTCAATGACTGCAGTCAATGACTTTCAGATGTGGTGTTAGGATGCCATCTAGAACTACCTGCAGTAGAGGGAATAGAATGTCAATGAAATGGACACATAGGAAGAGCCAGAGAAAGAAAAGTTTCAAGTGTCCTGTTTGTTACTGTGTACAAAAAGATGTCATGACAATTTCATGGTCCCCTAAGCCTTGCCTTCCCAATTCAAGCCAGCCCTTGGCATGCCTTGCTGGCATGGTGCAGAAAAGAGCCTAAGGATGTCAAATACAAGACCAGGGTTCCTCTTCCTGAACTCACATTAGAAATTAAACTTCAGGGCTGGAGAGATGGCTCAGTGGTTAAAAGCACTGGCAGTTCTTCCAGAGGTCCTGAGTTCAATTCCCAGCAACCACATGGTGGCTCACAACCATCTGTAATAAGATCTGGCGCCCTCTTCTGGCCTGCAGGCATACATGCAGGCAGAACATTGTATACATAATAAATAAATAAATCCTTAAAAAAAAATTAAAAAAAAAAAGAAATTAAACTTCAAAAATGAATAGTGAGGAAGAGTTGAGTCTTGTTCAGTCTCTCTATAATTCATTAACAACCCTATCCACAGGCCTGATGTCGCAGTTAGAGACTCTGGCTGTGAATGAGAACAGATAGCTAAGCCGTGTAAAACCAACATGACAGATCCGTGGTCTGAGGAGATGCCAAGGCTGAAGGAGAAGTGTTGACTTCACAGGAAGGACTGGAGAGCCACAGAGCCACATTGCCAGGAGGGTGGAGAGTCAGGTTCTGTCCTACCATCTGGGAATTGAAGTCTCTCTGCCAGCCAGCCAGCTATGGAGGAATTGGTGTTGCCCGTGCCAGCTTTGGAGATAGGGCTAAGGATTTACAGAGCAAACTGAGAAACACCGTCACCAGCTTGGAGTCTTGGAAGAGTTGCTTTCTTCCTGTAGGAGAGGCTATTCACATTGGTGACATGGAAGCTGGATGTTCTTCAGTTCTGTAGACATGCCCAAGAACTAATCCCCAACCCCAACTAAACTCCAACAAGTAACCTTCAGAAGTAACACACTAGAAGTTAAATATTTGTGATTTTCAGATCATAGGTGCCAGCTTAATCATAAATGTTGTCTTGATTATAGATTGGCTTAACATAATATAGTTATACTAATTAGGAAGTTCGTTAGGAAATCACATCAAAACAAAAACCAACAGTTGTGAAATCTCCAACCCAAAGATTCATATGTGAATCTCCCCTTGTCTGGGTGTGGCTCAGGTACCAAAGCTGATAGTCTACCTGGAGAGACAGGACAGAGGAAGGGTAAAGAAGGAAGAGCTGCCCTTTACGACTTTGGTCATAGGAACTGCAGAATCCTACTTCCTACTCAAGATTGACATCAGTGTCTAATCTTTTGAATGTGGAAAGTTCAAATGTCAAACATATACATTGATCCCCTTCCCCAGACAAAAATACCAGATAAAAAAATTACATTCTATCTTTCCTAGTTGTTTTTTTTTCTATCTTACAATAGAAGCTTAGAGACAGTTAGATAATACCTATTAAGTAGGAAAGTTATGATGCAAATCTTAGTTCTTTTTTCTTTTTTCCCCCTTCTTTTAAATATTGATATTTAAAATTTCAAAAATAAAAGTGTGGTACATACCTATAACCCAAGTATTTGGGGGGTGGAGGCAGGAGAATTATAAACTTTGTGGCAAATTTAAGGCCAGCCTGGGCTATATGACACCAAATCTTATAACACATCGAAATTAAATATAATTTTTTTAAATGAAAAGACAAAACAAATCCAGAGTCACCATCAGCTAGCTTCAGCAGTTAATCAATTTGTGACCAATCTTATTTCATCTATGCTCCAACCTACAAAAACACACACACACACACACACACACACACACACACACACACACACACACACACACACGAGTCTCCTGTGCTGGAGAAATGGCTCAGTAGTTAAGAGCATCGGCTTCTCTTCCAGAGGATCCTGGTTCAATTCCCACATAGCAGCTCACAACTGTCTGTAACTCCAGTTCCAGGGGATCTGACATTCTCACACAGAGTATGTACCAGCAAAACACCAGTGCATATTAAATCAATCAATCAATCAATCAATCAATCTTTTAAAAAAATCAAATCCCGAGTATCTAAGGCCCATACCTTTGCATTTCATAAGTGCTTGTTACTGTAATTTGTTTAAAAACTCGAAGCATTGCTCTTGTAGAGTTTCCTACATTCCAGATTTTGCCGACTACATCCCCGTGATGGCATTTAATATGTTAATTGCTATAACTAGGTCTTTCCAACTCAGAAAGGCCAGACTACAATGCCAGGGGGCCTTCCTCACGGTTTGCTGTGAAGATGGAATGTTCTATGGGGTGGCTGCTTTTCAGGTGTAAAGTCAGAAGCGGGTTTCATGTCTGTAACTTCCCATGGTCCCACCACGCCCCCTGTAGGTCGTACTCACTCAAGGAGGGTTTCCTCCTTTTTCTTCTCATTATCTTTCCGATTCAGGAGCACATAGACGACAAACAATATCCCCAGAAGTGCCAGGACCCTCTCTTGTCACACCTGCAGCCCCTCCCTCCTGGCCAGACTCACGGGGAGCTGAAGCGTTACTACAGCATCTGCCAAGACACAGCCCTGAGGGACCCAGGCTTCCAAGAAGGAGGAGGAGGGATGCATGGGGCGGAGAGGACTCGGAACTCCTTGAGCCCCACCCTGGCGCCCAAGCTCAGCTTAGAGGTTCGAAAACTCAGCAACGGCAGGTTATCCACGTCCCTGAAGCTGGGGCCCCTACAGCCCAGGGGAGTGCCGCTTCGAGAGAAGAAGGCCACCCAGATGGTGGTCATTGTGCTTGGTAAGTCTGATAATTTGCTAATTTGGCTTGGGTTAGATGGTTAGCTGAAGCTGGTGCTGGATGCCACGGTGGGGGCTATCGTTGCCGCATTTAAAGAAGATCGGAAATTCAATTATAAAATCTCTAAAATATAACTAAAAAGGTTTCTAGATGAATATTAGCTCTTAGGAAAACTCGAAAGACCTAAATGAAATTCATAAAGCCACTTAATTTGGGTTATCATATAGAATAATAATGTATAAATCAAGTGATAATGAATCAATGAAAGTGTCTGGCACCCATTGGGTGTTTAATAAATATTTACCTATTTTAAAATATAAGTGAGAAAATAAGAAAGTAAAACTCTACTGTCATATGATATGATGATACCTAGATCATTTTAAATAAGAAAAAAAAAAGAACGAAATAAACTTATCAAGATGTCAAAAGTGATTATCTTTGAGCAGTGGGTGGTTCTTCATATCTTTCTGTGTTCCTGTATTTATCAAGTTTTCTACTAGGTATATGGCCAGTTTTCAATTTTATAGTAAAAAAACCTGAATTCTAACATCGAATTAATTAAAGTTTGGTAAATCACAGATGTCACATAGCATTAATGGAAGAAAAGGCAAATCAATGAGTAGACGCCAAGCTAAGCAAACAGAAAGGAAATGCCATGTGAAACTCCCAGCCTGGGGCCCCATATAGCGATGATGTATGCGTTGTTTTCATCTATAAGGAAAGGGGTGAGCAAACTCCTAACCCACATTCTCTCTTTCTTTGCATCCCAGGAGCCTTCATTGTCTGCTGGCTGCCCTTCTTCCTGACTCACGTTCTTAATACTCACTGTCAGGCATGCCATGTATCCCCAGAGCTCTACAGAGCCACAACATGGCTAGGCTATGTGAACAGTGCCCTTAACCCTGTGATCTACACCACCTTCAATGTGGAGTTCCGCAAAGCCTTCCTCAAGATCCTGTCCTGCTGAAGGAAGAGAAGAGGCCACACTCCCTTTACCCACTTCAAGATGCCAGGCAGTTTGGATCCCTGCCCACCAGGGTCTGCTTTGGATGCCTACACTGTGTTCTGGCATGTGTGGTATGGAGATTCATGAAGCAGGACAACCCTGGTTAGGAACAACCAACTATTTATTCCACAGTAGGATGGTCTACCTCCCCAGCTTACATCTGACTTCATTTCGCTAGTCTTCACATTGCTAAGTGCTAGGTAACAACTCAGAGAGAAGTTGACAAAAAGTGTATGGGACACATACAGAGAATTGTCACTGGAGACACGATGCACTGGAGTGAAAGAAAAATGAACAGGTCTTGGCAGTCTCACCCTGCCAGGGGTCCTTGAAATCACAGCCAGGAAGCTGTCTTGTAGACAGTCAGCTCCTCTTCTTTCAGACCTGTAATTAACTGTCAGCACAGTTAACCTTGAGCATCCATGGGGCCCAATTGCTTGTTTTCTTTCACTCTATCCTAAAACATGAAAGGCAAGGCCAATGTTTATACCTTTCTGTGGAATGGAATGGGCTGCATTTGGTGAGGGTCTGCTCACCCCGGAGCAGACACTGTCCCACATTGGGACTTGGGTTTTATTTCTACCCTTACATGTTAGCTCTGGCTGGGGGATGCGGGGGAGGCCCTTTGCTTTATTCCCTGACTTTCTCAAGACAATTCTAGTGTTTTGATTTCCAGAACCATTCAAGACAAGACAGTTAAGTGAAGAAGGTAAGGCAGTTTCCTCTACAGTGTCATGGCTGACTTTGTGTTGAGAACATGCCTTCCAGATGCTGTCCATCATTCGAAGGGTTTCCTAGCCAGGAACTTTCATCTACTTAACAGAGGCCCAAAACTTTCAGGCCTTGATATCCACCAAGTGCTCGGAAAGTGCTAGTCGCCTCCCAGGTTCTGAATAGATAACAAAGTCCTCAAAGACGTACGTTTGCCCATGTGGGTGGTAGTGGCTTGCCCAGACTTGCAAAGGCCCTCGGAACTGAGGGTAATGGGGGATGGCCGCTCCAAGTCATCATTTATGATATCTTCATAAAAACCTGGTCAGATCCTAAACAGCACAACTCTAACAATTGTGCTCAGAGCATAACAAAAACTGGGTGTGGTGACTCAAAAAAACCACCAGAAGTAATCTGTAAATGTCATTCAAAATTGCATTTAGAAGGAGCTAGAACATGCACATCATTTACCTTCTCACCTACAGAAGCTATTTTTTTTATTGATTTCAGAATCAAGATCAAATTTATGGATAATTTATAAAATGCTGTCAGCCTGAACTTCAATCAATTTATCTTTAAGAGCATTGGTCTACAGCATGACAGCTAGAGGCTAGCATGCTGTTCAAACTTTAAAGAGCCCAAGAACTTCACAAAGAATCCAGGCCTCACCCACCCCATTCTTACTCGTCTGACCCTAATGGGTTAGTTGTCTGATAGTCCTGAACGCTTTGGTTCCAGCACTTACAAGTGTTATTATCTATAATGATTGGTATTGTAGCACAGAGTGGACACCCAAATCCTCTCTGCCCACTGCCGCTTCCATTTAGTGCCATAAAATATAACAGGCTTGCCAGGTGGTGGTGGTGGCGGCGGCGGCGGCGGCGGCGGCGGCGGCGGCGGCGGCGGCAGCGCACGCCTTTAATCCCAGCACTCGGGAGGCAGAGCCAGGTGGATCTCTGTGAATTTGAGGCCAGCCTGGTCTACAGAGCAAGATCCAGGACAGGCACCAAAACAACACAGAGAAACCCTGTCTCCAATATATGTGTGTGTGTTTGTGTGTGTGTGTGTGTATGTGTATATATATATATATATAGGCTGTTGTTACAAGCAAAATTGAGTTTATGATTTCTAGGCTTCCCCATTCAAGATAAATAAAAACAGATGAGCCTGTGGAGTAAAATATTATAGAATTTTACAGTCAGAATCTAGAGGCAGAAATATAAGCATTGGTATCAATACCTTTGTGAGGAAGGATGACAGCAGATAATTTTTCATTTCATTTCATTTTATTTTATGCCTATGAGAGTTTTGCCTGCATGTATGTATGTGCACCACATGCATGCCTGATGTCTGCAGAGGTCAGAGAGGTCCTTGGGTCACCTGGAACTGGAGCTGCCATGTTGTATCCAGAAACTGCACCCAGGTCTTCTGGAAGAGGGGCGAGTGCTCTTAATCACCGAGCCATCCCTCCAGTCCCTTGGTATCTTTTCTTCGCATCAAGTAACCAACCTTTATAACAACCTTGGTAAGATGATTTTATTTTATAGATGAAGACAGTGAGACAGAAGGAGGCTAAACACTTCCCTGCAGGCCAAACACTATCAGTCAGTGCCAAGGGATTGAATGTACATGCACCTGAATTGAATGTACATCCCCATGCTGGCACATGGCTTCCTTCCAAAGTGGAGAGGTGGCCGAGATCCTAAGATGAACTTAACCCTACCCCACCAACCATCTACTATATCCAAATAACTTTCCTACATTTTTAAATTATGCCTCAACTCCAACAGTATTTGTCCATGAAGCCATCTCAAAGCTGGATTTGGGGCTACTACACACTATGAATCCTATTTTTTTTTTAATAGACAACAAGCAGGTAAGCACTGTGCACATAAATTGTCTCCCAAGTGGACATAGAGCACTTACCCAACTACCTAAACTTCCTGGAATCCAGTCTAAGATATTGGTCTCATTCTCCTGCCATGTTCAAATCTTAAGCAATAACATAGGAAATCCACAGTCTCTAGAGAGTGGTTGGTTCTGCATTCTCCTTCACTTACATAAAAGAGAACCAAGGCTTGGTACTGTGCCCCCCCCCATGGTTAACAAGAGCCAGTTGTACTGAATCCTAGCTGGTTGTTAATTCCACTTTTGCTACATTCCCCTAAGGACTTGTAAAAACTTTTAGCTCCGTATAGATACAATGTAAAGTTACGTCTACCATTGAACTGTAAAGCTCCTATTGGCTCCACAGTGTCAATTAGTCTGTACAACATCTACTTCCCAGATTTTTTGGGTCTGGTCCAAGAAGAACTTTCAAGGGAAATACCAAATATGCCTCTAAAGTTCTCACTGCATCCTCTTCATCCTAAGAGCCTCTTGTCACCCCTTTCTTCCTCCCCAGTTCCCACCAGGAGCCAACGCCTTCAATCACAGGGCTCATTATTTTCACTGCCAATATAACCACAAGTCTCAGAAGAAATGTTGGACTGAATAAATCAGGGTATAGTTCTTGGGGAAACCTCATTAAGACCCCAAAGAAATATCAAATTTTCCCACACTGTTTGAGTAAACTGCAAATAACACAGAAATTTTAGTATAGTCTAATCAGTATTCAACTCAGGGCCATAAGCAAACATTTCCCTCTTCCTTCACTACTTGTTTTCTTAAATCAACCACATATTCAATAAATACAAGTTTACCAACTTCTTATGTGTCAGACACTGTGCTGGGCACCGAGAAGCACTGTCCAGGAAGATGTGGTCCTTTCCCCACCCTCCTGAAGAAGCCTATAGTCAAGTAATAAGGTAATCTATTGTACATAATGCTTACCTGCATGTTGTCTATTTGAAAACTACAGGATTCTAGGTGTTTAGTAGCTACAAATTCAATTTTGAGATGGCTTCCTGGACAAATACTATCAGAGTTGAGATGATTTCAAAATGTAGAAAAGGTGTTTTGGGGGGCTGGAGAGATGGCTCAACAGTTAAGAGCACTGGCTGTTCTTCCAGAGGTCCTGAGTTCAATTCCCAGCAACCACATGGTGGCTCACAACCATCTGTAATGAAATCTGGTGCCCTCTTCTGGCCTGCATGCATACATGCAGACAGAACACTGTATACATAATAAATAAATCTTAAAAAAAAGAAAAGAAAAGAAAAGGTGTTTCAGAAAGGGTAGTCCCCCAAAATGCTAAAATCAGAACAAGCAAAGACCATGGAAATAAGCACAAATAATTATATCTGACTATATTAATGACACTGAAGGGATAGACTGTTTCCATCCATCATTTCTCAAGATCTCTTTTAGCTCTGAACCAGGTGGCAGCCAAGCCGAGGGTACCACTTGTCACATAATACATCTAGAATTTGGACCCGAGACCCCCACGTGTGCTACACACACTGTGGAGTGTCCACTACCGATTTATCTACCTATTCTTTCTGTGCTACCCTGGGTTTCAACAAATACAGGCTTTAATTATCTGAATTCTTTTATCCTCACTCTGAAGAAGACGGAATGCCTAGTTGAATGGATTTGATATCAGAAACGGTTACCATTAGGCAACTCAGAGACTTCGGATCAGAAACCAAAGGAGGTCAGTCAAAGAGATTTGTTTTTGTGAATGCTTGGGTCAGAAACACACAGGGAGGCAGAGAGGTTATTTGCTGGAGATCCTGGCTCCTAGGTCTGTGCTCTTCATTTGGTATCCACTGACATTAGATGGCTGGAAAGGCTTAATTCGAATCAATACACAGAGAGCAGAGAAGAGACGACAGGCAATTAACCCGATTCCTCCATTCTGCCTAATTGTCTACTCATCAGCTGAGGAAGCAAGTGAGTTGCCATGACTACCTCCTGACACAAAGACTCAGTGCAGGTGATGCCATTGTCAGCTCATCTCTGTGGCACATGTTGGCAGAGGCAGAACCTGAGAGTCCAGGCCAAGCCACATGGCCTGGACCACTGGCTTCCTCAGTCCTCACCTCAATTAATCATCTGTCTCCACCATTGTGCAACGAGTTTCTGATTTGTGTAGAGTCTGGTCTCTGGGAGGAGAAGCTGCAGACTTCTAAGGATGTCCAGACCCTCGGGTGGAAGCAGGGAGGACTCCATGTTGGCTCTGACCCTCTTTATGGGAAACACAGTGTTCAGCCATGAGTCAAGGGCTTGAAGTTCTAGTGCTAGCGCGGACAAGTGGCTTTAGGCAAGGGATTTAACCTCTCTAAGCTTCAGTTTACTCATGAGAAAAAATGGAGACCTAAAATCCTAGTCTTTTTTATGAGGCCATTTGAAGATTAGATAAAATCACCAGCTAGTGGTTCTTTCTGTCTGTTCCTGTTGCTATAGCAAAAGACTGCAGAGTGGATCATTTACAAGCGATAGAAATTTTTTTCCCACAGTTCTTAAGGTTGAAATATCTAAGATCAAGGCACCAGCAAATTTGTTGTCTGGGTGGGCTCAATATCTGTGTCTAAGACAGTGTCTTCTTGTGTCATCCTACTAACGAGACAAATGCTGTGTCCTTACACTGCAAAGGTGTGGTGGGAGAAAAGCCACTCTGGTTCCCTCTGGCCCTTTTGTAAGATATTAATTCCATGTGTAGGGGCAGAACCCTCATGGCCTAGTTACCTTTTGAAGACCTTACTACTACTGTATTAGCAGTTACATCTCAGCATGAATTTTGCAGGAGACACAAATGGTCTAATGGTAGCAGAAAGGCTTCACCAACTGTAAAGCCCTAACAAATGCAAAAAAGGTCACTCTCATCCTTGGTTTTGTTATTACTGATTACTCCTCGCCTGTCACACCTACCTGACTCGTCTCCTATCCAGATCCTCTTCCTCAAGTTATTTGGCATACTCTTTCCAACCTCACCTGACCACCACCACACAAGCTGATTTTTTTTCTTGACTTTTATTCCCTTAACAGACCCAGGATACCTGGCTGTCTTTGTAGTCTGACTGCTGGACAAATGTGTAGCACCTAACAGGGCCCTGCTCAATTAGGTTGTGACCTAACACCCAAGTTGATGATGTCAGAAACTTACTTGCTGAAGTCTGCTTTGTGTCCTCCCTGCCCCTCCCCCGACAATTCCTCTCCTAATCATCAGATGAGGAGCAGACACATCTATTCCTTAAAACTACCTGGCTTTGTCCCTCACGATGCCCAATTCTGTCAACCCATCTTCTCACTCCAACTCTTCTGGCCTGGCAGAAGTGCCCTGGTTAGGGAACTAATGTTCAGGGCTTTGTAACAAGGGATCCACATGCGAGGCAATTTAAAACAGTAACAACTGTATTCACTCATGGTTCTAAAGGCCAGAAGTACGAAGTCAAGGCACTTGTAGGGTTGTGCTTTCTCTGAGTGCTCCAGGGAAAGAGCTTCCTTCACTTCTTCCCAGTCTTTAGTGGTTACTGGCAATCCCCTCAACTTGTCCTTAGCTTTTGGCAACACAACTCCAGTTTCCATCAGCAACTTCTTGTGGCGTTGTGTCTGGGACTAAATTTTCCTTTTATCAATCATTGGATTAAGGCTGCCTTCACCAAATATTACCTTATCTTAACTTGGTTACATCTGCAAAGACTCTATTTCAAAATTAAATCATTTATAGGTCCCAGGGTTTAGGACTTTAGCTTTTTGTTTGTTTGTTTGTTTTGTTTTGTTTTTTTGGTGTGTGTGTGTGTGTGTGTGTGTGTGTGTGTGTGTGTGTGTGTGTGTGTGTAATACAATTCAACACATAAAATATGATGAGAGTGGTCCGGAAGGAAGAAGATTTGGAATGTGGATAAATTTGGATATAAGTATGAAAGTCCTATCATCTACAATATGAGAGGTTGGATTTCATCCCTGGTACACAATCCCTTCATGGTCTGGGTCAACTCTATAAACTCCCCGGAGTTCCACTTAATTTTTAGTAAAAGTGTCTAGCCTGAATTCCTAAGGCTATGCTAATACATGCTAAAGCTATTTGTAGCAAGATATAAATTATCTGCTGAGCCCTTAAAACTTGTAAACATGCTTATTAATAAAAGTCAGAGCTAATTCAAAATCAACCATTTGCTTCTTTGTGTCTTAAAAGGCGGAACTGAACAATCAACTCATTGTAGGTGGGGATGATACATGAAAATATCCTGTATATATCCTGTGCCATGCCATGTCACTCTAGACAGACTGAAAGTGGTGGGGGGTATTTTTTTCCCTTTAAGAAACACTGACAACACTGAATCTTGTATTACAGTTGAGCAGATTCTATACATCTCCATAGTAAGACCCTTAAAAAGCTTATAATTTATCATAAGCTATAATCATGAGATTTGAGAATTGAAAAGGACTGTATTCCAGTTCTTAGTGCAGAAATCCTCTCTTGAACATTGCTGATCCATCATCATCCATCTATATTAAGGAGCTGGCTCATTACTTCCCAAGACATGTGACAAGTTATCCTTTTAAAAAATTCCTGCCAGGTCTGGAGAGATGGCTTGGCAGATAAGCACGCTTGCTGCATTTGCAGAGGACCAGAGTTTGACTCTCAGCATAGAGGCTCATCACCATCTGTAACTCTAGTTCCCGGGGATCTGACACCCTCTTCTGACCTCCACAGGCACCAGACATGCAACTGTGCACAGACATACATGCAGGGGAAACATCCAAACACATAAAATAAAATTATACCCTTTTTTTATTTATGAAAACAATCCTGATATCATTCAGCCAAAATCTACCTCTTTCAAAACTAGTCTGTAGGTTCATCTTCCATATGTGAGATTAAGACAGTCCTCACAGTTTCAATTCCTCTGTCTCTAATTCAAGAAGCATTCTCTTGTACCACCTATCTTAGTTGATTTCCTCTGAATACAGCCATTTCATTAGTTTCTCTTAAACTACAAGACCTCAGTAGGTTATTATCCTTTAAATGTTGTTGAATCAGCTCAGAGTGCCATAGATTCATTATTTCCCATGATTGGAATATTCAATTTTTAATGACCCAACTCAAATTGCATTGACTTTGTAGGGCTCAGATTGAAATTCTGAAAAGGAAATTTGCATAGAGAATGGAGATGTTTAATGGGCTATGACTTAGGGATCAACACATCCAAGGAGGATGGAGGAAGCAGGGGTAGGTGCAGAGAGTGTGAGGAAGCAGCACAGAGGAGAGTCCCCCGGACCCACGAAGTGGGTAGACCATTTTGATCCCAACCAGTCACTGGATGAGAACTACCTCTAAGGAGGAGACATGATTTAGGCAAAGGCTCGCGTATGTTGAAAGCTTTTATTCCATTCTTAACAAATAGCAGACTAGGGCTGGAGAGATGGCTCAGTGGTTAAGAGCACTGAGTGCTCTTCTGGAGGTCCTGAGTTCAATTCCCAGTGACCACATAGTGACTCACAACAACTAGTGGACTAAATCCCTGCATGAGCTCTAGGAGGCACATGCCAGCATCTTCCACAATCTATCCTTTGTAGCACTTTTTTTCATGTAGTAGACTCTAGAAACAACATCAGGAATCCAGTTGGTGTCTCTTCCTATGGAAGTTTAGTAGGACGGCCTATAATCTCTAGCTGGTCTCAAAGTAATTTTCATCTTTTCAATACGAAGGAATAAAATATTGGTCCATGGTACAATATAGATGAACACATTACACTAATGCAAGAAGCCAGACACATAAATCACATCAATTATGATTTTATTCTTATGAAATATTCAGAATAGATAAATTCACAGAGAGAAAAAGGAGATTGTTTATTTCCAAGAATGGAAAGAAAGGGGAATGGGGGCTACCTGCTTGATGGGTTCCTGGTTTTCTCCTATGATAATGAAAACAGAACTGCATAGATGGAGTGGTTGCACAATATTGTAAGTCACTAAATGTCATTGAATTATTCACTTTAAAATGACTAATTTTATATCAATTAAAACTTTTAATTATGAAAAATTAACAAATTAGTTAGAAGAATGGGGACCTCTAATATGTCATATACTCAGATTGGAAGACTCAGCATGTTAAGATGACAATTTTCTTCAAGTTGATATGTATACTTATGCAATATCTCATTCCAGGAGGCTTTTTCTTCTTAAAAAAAAATCTCACGAGCAGATTGTAAATTTATATAGAAATGCAAAAAACCCAGACTAGCCAAAACACATTTTAAAAGAAGAAATATCCAGAATAGGTAAATCCATAAAGACAGAAATTAATCATTTCCAAAAGTGGGGGAAGCTGGAGAATTTTCACTTCCTGCTTTCAAAACTTACTGTAAGTTATTAGCCAGACTGGTCTTACATGCCTGGAATCTCAGCACTCAGGAGACCAAGACAGAAGACCATGTGTTTGAGAAGAGCCTGGGCTACATAATAAGCTCAAGACTAGCCTTGGCTACATGGCAGGACCTTGTCTCCAAACAACAAACAACAATAACAAAAAAGAAAACACAAGAGCTGGGGACATAGTTCAGTGATAGAGTGCTTGCCTGCTGTAAAAGAGGCAATGGCTTCCACCTCTAGCAGAAGCTGGGAGGTCAATTACACAACCCTATTTGTATGACATGTACCCAAACCAAAAATCTACAGAGACAAACAATACAGTAGGAGTTGACTTGGGCATGAAGTAGAAACTGAATTAACAATTAATGGCTATAGAGGACTTTGCTAGAAACTCAGCTGTGTCTCCCCAAAATTTCTATGTTAAGCCCTAACCAACAATCTAACCATATCTGAATATAAGACCTACAGGGACATAATTAGGGATACGCTAGGTCATAATAATGAGGTTCTGATATGATGATATTAGTGTCCTTAAAAGAAGAGAATGCTTTTGAGGCCAAGAAGTGTGTAGCAGGGTCAAATTCCCTGCAGGAAGCTCCTGAGAAGTTATCAGTGTAAAGCTTAAGTTGTAATGGAAACTGGAGGATTTTAGAGATGCTAAAAATCACATGACATTTGCTAAAGAAATGGTACTGAGAGAAGCCAGCCTAGGTGAAAGGTCATGTATGCTACAGGTAGAAAGGCCGTAGGAGAAGAGCTACCCAAGTCTATTGGAGTCCACTTAATGACATCCTATTCCCTGGATGCTAGACATGGAGACCCAGCGTCTGGTATTTGCTCTTGGAGGTTTCAGTCTTGCTTTGGTCCAATTTCCCTCCATTTTAGAATGGGAATGTTTGCTTCATTTGTACACCATTGTGTATTGGAATTATGTAAGTTCCTTTTTTATGATACTGGGACACACAGAAGTGTGCCTTGTTGGGGCTGCAGAAATGGCCTCAGCAGTTAAAGGCACTGTTGCTCTTACAGAGGACCTGGATTTGACTCCCAACACCCATATGCTGGCTCACAACCAACCATAGCTTCACTTCCAAGGGATCTGATGTCCTCTTCTGACCTCCATGGGTACCAGGCACATACGTGGTACACATATATACGGGCAGGCAAAACGCTCATTCGCATTAAAAACAAAACAAAAACAAAAACAAACAAACAAAAAAAACATTTAGGTGTTGCTGAGACTGTTTAGGTGGTGAGACTCCTGAAGTTGGATAAATGTGTGGTATGAGACGGTCACCATCCTTGGAAACCGGAAGTAAACTGTTCTGGTTTGAAACTTAGACGTCCTCCACAGGCTCAGGTGTGAATGCTTGTTCACCAGCTGGCACTGCTCTTTTAGGAGGCTGTAGGACTTTTAGGATATGGGCCTATCTGCCATAAGTGTACACTAGGGGCAGGTCTTTGAAGGTTATCACTGCCCACCTGGTTCCAGCCCACTCTCCCTTCATGGTCCACTGTAACGGGAGAAACCTCTGCCACAGGCTCCCATCAGCGTGGACTCTTTCAAAATTTCTCCACCATGATGAACTGTGATGTTCTGAAACCGTGAGCTAAAATAAATCATTCCTCCTTTGCGTCTACAAGCTGAGTCACAGTAACACAAGAGTAACTAAGACAGTGGTTGCTGCCTTTAAAAATTGAATGTGCTGGGTCCTTATGTCCCTTCCCTCTGGCTACTGCCTCAGAGACTTGGTTTTCATCTTTCCCAGGTTCCCTAAGGGAGCTGAGCTGAGTTCCTTCCACTCCCACAATAAATCCGCTTGTACCAAGCAACGGATAAAATTTGGTGGAATCATCTGAGCTGTGAGCCGAGGAAAAAATAGGGAAGAATCGCAGGTCACCGTATCCCACATTCTTTCTCTTTTCCGTGTCTCCCCTTCACCATCTTCATCTCAAATATGGTCTGGAAACACCCACTCTTCTACCCTGGATGCCTAGATGAATCTCCAAGGATTTCTACCCCTTTTTCAACTGAGTTCCTGTCAGTGTGTGCCTTCTACACAAATACATTCTAAGAGAAATACCATCTTCTCCATTTTGTTAAAGCCATCTTTTGCACCTTGGAGTATTCATGAGCAAAATAAGCAAATGAAAATGTACAAATTCTTACAGTCTGTTGACATTCCACTACTTACTCACAATATGAGTCACTCCATGTTTGCACTTCTCCTTTTCCCTAAGCGAAGCAGCTCTGTTCCTAAGGCTCCCTGGCTTTACCCTCCTTCATTCGGTTCTTGAAGGTGCATGATAGGTTTTTGTGTTGAAGTGTATCTATCACTGCCCCCCTCTCCAGCATGTGCCTTTTGTTCACGTCCCTTTCAAAGCCTGCACTCTGCAAAGAACTCCCTGTACCACCGCCTATTTCTTTATGAATGCTCCCCTTTATCACTGGAATTACTTCCCATTATATTCCAACCAGGAGTTTATTGTTTAAATCTCCCACCTCTCCCAACTCCTATTCTTTGCTGGAAGTCTCACATCATAGAGTCACACCTGTGGTAAATACTCTTTTGAAGTGAAAAGTTAATTTGTAATGCAAATAATTACTTCTTTAGTTACCTCATTTTCAAGTGGGCATTTTCACATAGCAAATTTTCATAAAGATAAATTGGGGGCAAATGGTTTCACACTTTTTCCTTCTCTGTCACTCCCCCCTTCTCCCTCCCATCTCCTTGCTGTCTTTCCTTCTCATCTCTGGCTGTCTCCAGCCTCTACTGGGACTGGTGAAAACCCCTGGCTTCTCTCCCAAGCTCTGCTTTTCTTAAGTGAGGAACTCTCTGCTCATCTCTCTTAGTGAGGGTTTCTATTGCTGCAAGGAAACACCATAGCCCAAAGGCAAGTTGGGGAGGAAAGGGTTTATTTGGCTTACACTTCCACATCACTGTTCATCATCGAAGAAAGTTGGGACAGGAACTCAAACAGGGCAGGATCCTGGAGGCAGGAGCTGATGCAGAGGCCATGGAAGGGTGAGGCATACTGGCTTGCTCCCCATGGCTTGCCCAGCCTGCTTTCTTATAGAACCCAAGATCACCAGCCCAGGAACGGTACCACCCACAATGGACTGGGACCTCCCCCATCAAACTAATTAAGAGAATGCTCTATAGGCTTGCCTACAGCTCCATCTTAGGGAGGCATTTTCTTCATTGAGGTCCCCTCCTCTTGGATGACTTTAGCTTGTGTCAAGTTGACATAAAACTATCCAGCACACCATGCATTGCAGCAAATCTTTGTTGTACAAGGAAACCTCACTCAAATGCACTTGCTTCCAGGAAAATCCCTGAGCAGAGCCAGATGAAGAAGGTTCTTGTGCATGGAATTGTCTGTGTCAGATACCACGATGGTGTGGAACTCCCCTTTGCTGACTGTTCTGTTTCTATTAACTTCAATTAAAGTCTTCCTTCTGCAGTTGAAAACTCTAAGAAGTGGATGTCTTTATACCGCGGTCTCTGCAGGAGTAAATGAGGACAGTAATTTCTGTTCCATCTTATAAAAGCGTTGGGAGGGGGGAATGTGGAAGATAATGTAGAAGGCAAAGCATGACTCACATATAAAAGAATATATTCTCCTTATATTTAATCATAGGTCTGTTTGCTGGAAATATCAAGGGCAGAACTTTTGAGCATGGAACTGGGCAGAATGAAAGGTACTTAGAGAAGATGGTGAGCTGGGAACACTGGGTCTTTTAAGTCAAGAATTGCCCTGTTCTACCCACATGGAAGGGAGAGTGCTTCACAAGATGACAATGCTATTGTACTCTGAATTGAATTATTTCTCATTTGAAAATATGATAAGGACAAAGCTGCTTAGAAGACTGGGGTGGATGAGAATGAGAACACCATGAGTGGGGCTTGCTTAGAATTATCAGGTGAAAGTGAGGTGAGGGAGCAGAGACCCTGTTCTCATGCAAAGTAAAGTTCTACACACATAATGGAAGTGGGAGAAAGCTTTTACAAATGAGAATAAATCAATATATCCTCAAAAACAAGACTGAGGAGGTGTAAGGTTTCGGTACTTCTTCACTAATGTGAGAAAGGATTCAGAAAAAAAAAAAACATGTGAAAGGATGAATAGTTTCAATAAAATAAACAGAAGTTTCGTCAGTAGCTCCATCCCACCCATCTCCATCCTCTCCATCTCAGTATCGACTCTTTGCCAGAGAAAATGTGTCTTACCTTCTCGCATTAAAAGTGTCGTAAGCAGGGCTGGAGAATGACTCAGAGGTTAGGAGCACAGGCTGCTATTCCAGAGGTCTTGAGTTCAATTCCCAGCAACCACATGGTGGCTCACAACCATCTATAATGAGATCTGGTGCCCTCTTCTGGTCTGCAGGGATACATGCAGGCAGAACATTATATACACAGTAAATAAATAAATCTTTTTTAAATTTATTGTGTTTCTGTGAAAAAGCAAAGCAGAGTTACCTGAGAAGAAGGCTCCTCAATTGAGGAATTTCCATTAAATTGGCCTATAGGCATCTCTATGGGGCATTTTCTTGATTGATGTGGAAGGGCGCAGCCCAGTATGGGTTGTACCACTCCGGGAAGGTGGTCCTGGGTTGTATAAGAATTCCTGCCCTGGCTTCCTTCAGTGATGGACTACAACCTGCAAGACAAATTACCCCTTTTCTCCTCAAGTGGCTTTTGGTTGTGGTATTTATCACAGCAAACTGGTACATTGCAGAAACTTTCAAATTATGCCACTCTGCTGCAAGGCAGCTATGACCTCAACCTAACTCCTAAGGAGGAGATAAAGAACTAAGAAAGGAAAGTTGAAGTGTCCTGCTGGCAGAAATGCTGAGTTCTGTAAGTCTGAGTGTGAACTATGTGATAAAAAAATTAGCCTTTCTAGATTATTTCTTTCACCTCGAAAATATTATAAAATATATCAAACACTCAGAATAGTTTAAAAAATAAAATAACTGTGTAACAGCTTTATCAAATATCGACATTTTCTCATACTTACTTCAAATCATGTACAAGAACGAATTATATGTATATAATTGTGCAATTTTCCTCCTCTATGCCCGGAAGGAATCAGTAGCTGCCATTCAGTGTTTCTCACTTTCCTATGTAATGCTTTGTTAGATATGCACGTACCTATACAGCACTGGATTACAAGCTCGCATTAGACACTATTCTCTGATACTTCCTTTCCTACACAAATGGATGCTTGTAGATTTAGTTCATTCATTCGTTGTAATTGCTATGTAAACATACCATTTTCCTGCTGATAATCATTTACTTTGTTCTCAAATCTTTATTGCTTTAAAAAGATGCAGCACTGAATACTTTTGTACATGTACACTTGAGCATGTCTACTAAATTTCCTCTTGAAAGTAAACCTCCAAGAGAAATTACTGGTAGTGACACTTGTACATCTTCCTCTATAGTAAATATTATCAAATTGTTTTCAAAAACAGTTGCATGCATTTATTTTCCCATTCCTTGTTTATGGAAGTTCCTTCTTATGTGCATTTTAAATTTCTTTGAGCTACTAAGTACTGACAGCTGGTCCCCAACTTACAACAATTCTAGTTATGATTTCCCAGCTTCACAATAGTGCAAAAGTGATATGCCTTCAGTAGAAGCCACACTTTGCATTTTGATCTTTACTGGGCTATCACTATGCAATATACAGCACAACACTCTCTTGAGGCGCTGGTGAGCAGGAAGCCATGCATCTAGGATCCATATTACCGAGAGGGTAAGCAGCCAGTGTTCTACAGTGGACTGCATTGATAGGCCGTGATGTTTGGCGTATGGAATGTATTTTCAGTCCACAGTATTTTCATCTAACAATGGATTGATTGGAATATAAGCCTCAGAGTAAGTTGAGGAATATCAGTATTAAATTTGCTGTCCCTCAACTCTTTATAATTTTATATCCATTGTTGTATCATTATCTTTTCCAATTGCCTATTTCTTGAATATAAAAAAAGGATTGATTTTTACATTGATCTTGTATCTGGCAGCATTGAAGTTCTCTAATGAAATCTAGCCTGTGGTTGCTAGATTCTCTTAGATTTCCTGTGTACTCAAATATGTTGGCTGAAAATAAGATTTGTTTTGGAAATTCTCTCTAGTTTTTGTAACTTTGTATTTTTTTCATCTTATTACATTGTTCAGGGTGTTCAGGAGATGGTAGTATGAAATAGCAATGTAGTTTAATAAAAATTCATCATTATGGGAAGGTTTTGGGGAGAAGGGAAGACAGAAAGGATGTAATTAAATCATAAACTCAAATAAAGAGAAAATTCATTATTAATTTTCTATGATTTTTTTTTTTTTTTTTTTTGGTTTTTCGAGACAGGGTTTCTCTGTGCAGCTTTGCGCCTTTCCTGGATCTCACTCTGTAGTCCAGGCTGGCCTCGAACTCACAGAGATCCACCTGGCTCTGCCTCCCGAGTGCTGGGATTAAAGGCGTGCGCCACCACCGCCCGGCCTATTTTCTATGATTTTTAATAGATACATCATCTCAGCCATTTAGAGTATTACCTTCTATCCACAGATACGATGAGCTTTATTTTTGTTTACTTTTATGAACTAAAAACCACCTTGCATACTCCTATCTCAACATCTGTATCCTTAACATCCCCCAGATGTCAGCATGGCTGATTTCTTCACCTCCTTTCCCTCTTTATTCTAATGTTATATGTAATATGTACAAGCTTTGTATATCAAGCGGCAGCCTTCTATGCCTAAAACATTCTCTGCAAATTTCTTTTCACGTGAATGTTTATCAAAAGTACCTTTTTCTGAATCTAAATTGATCGCTTTCCTTTTTTATTTGGTTGTGTAGACTTTTCCAACATGAAATCATTTTGTATTCTTGAAGCAATTAATACTTTAATCTTGACTGGTAATAAGAGGGAGGGATGGGGGAGAGAGGGAGGGAAGAAGGGAGGGAAAGAAGAAGGGAGAAAGGAAGGAAGGGAGGAAGGAAGGAAGGAAGCAAGGAAGGAAGGAAGGAAGGAAGGAGGGAGGGAGGGAGACACCCTTGGAGAAAAATAAATTTCCATTTGCAAGTGGTCATCAGTTGGCAATAGCTTCTGGGAAGGGATGGGAGCTGTGTCCACTTCTCCTTTCAGCTCTAGGAGCCCATCTGGTGTGTTCCCGTGCAGGCCTGTGCATGCTGCCTCCGTCTCTGTGAGTTCAGATGTGCAAGGGTCCTGTGTTTAGAAGGCTTTGTTTCTTTGGTGTCCTCCATCCCCTCTGGCGTTTACATTTTTTCTGCCTCCTATTCTGCGGGGTTCCCTGAGCCCTGAGGGGAGGGATTTGATGGAGATATCCCATTTAGGTCTGAGTGGTCTAAGGTCTCTTATTCTTTTCATATTGTCTGCCTGTGGGTCTCTGTATTTGTTCCCATCTGCTGCAGGAGGAAGCTTCTCTGATGTCTATGAGTATAGCAGAGTATCATTAGGAGTCATTTTATTGCTACATTCCTTTTGTAGAACAGTAGTATTTGTTTTTTGGTTTTCCCCTGGGTTCCTTGGCTATCTAGTCTCAAGTTCTTAGTCACTCAAGTCATACCAAGTTAGATATGGACTCCATGTCATGGAATGATCCTTAAGTCAAATCAGATATTGGTTGATTACTCCCTCAAGATTTCTGCCACCATTATGCTAGCATATCTTGCAGGCAGGACACCATTGCTGGTTTATAGCTGGGTAGGTATTTACATTTCACCATTGGTAGGGTACAGAGTACCCTTCGGAACCAAGAACACTAGCTAGTAGGGGTGAAGGCTCTATGCAGGCACCAGCTCGACTTCTCCATGTCCATTGACCTGTATAGGTGTTGTCTTCAGCGATGTGGTCTTACCATCAGTTTGTGGAGAACAACTGATAGCCCTTGCAATGGCCTGGGTTCTTTGAGGATTCCCATGGGACCCCTTTGGCCAACAACTCTATACGATGTAACCCATGCCTGATTCTGAAGCTTTATTTGGTGTTGAGAGATGTCCAGTTGGGGCTCTGTCTCCCCTCTGTTATTTGGTCATTTAATTTAGATCGCCTTCATATATGTATATACTTTAGGAAGCATCTACTGTATTAGGTTTTCATATGACCCCCCCAAATGGCCCTTAATTTTAGCTGTCCCTTTCTGAGATCTTCCCTCCCTCACCCCCTCTTCCCTCTCCATTGCCATTTGATTCTCCCACTCCAGCCCTACCCCATCCATCCATAACTATCTATTTTATTTCCCTTTCCTGGGGAGATCTGGTCCTCCTTCCTAGTTCCATACACCTAACCACTGTGGTTCTAGAGACTGTAGCTTGCTTATCTTTGACTTAATAGCTAACATCCACATATGAGCAAATACATACCGTATTCGTCTTTCTGGGCCTAGGTTACCTCACTCAGGATGATTTTTTTTCTAGTTCCATCCATTTACCTGCTAATTTCATGATTTCATTTTTTTTAAACAAATAGTATTACACTGTGTAAATGTACCACATTGCCTTTATCTATTCACCCATTTGTAGACTCTAGGTTGTTTCTAGTTTCTGGCTATTATGAAAATAGCAGCAGTGAACATGGTTAAGCATATATATGTCTCTGTAGCAGGATGAAGCATCCTTTGTGTATATTCCCGGGTGATACAACCAATCTTGAGGTAGATCGATTCCCATCTTCCTGGGAACTGCCACGCCGGTTTCCATAGAGGCTGTATGAGTTTATGCTCCCACCAACAATGGATGGGTGTTCCCTTGTTCCACATCCTCACCAGCACAAGCTGTCACTCTTGTTATTGATCATGGCCACTCTGACGGGTATAAGATGAAATCTCAAGTAGTTCTGACTTGCATTTCCCTGATGGCTAAGGATGTTGAACACTTTGTTAAGTGTTTCTCAACCATTTGAGTTTCCTCTATTGAGGCGTGCACCACCACCACCCGGCAAGTTTCTGCTATTGAGAATTCTCTGTTTAGATCTGTACCTCATTTTTAATTGGGTTATTTGTTTCCTTGATATCTAATTTTTTAAAATTCTTTATACATTTTGGATATTAGCCCTCTGTCAGATGTGTAGTCAGTAAAAATCTTTCCCCATTCTGTAATCACTCATTTTGTCTGAATGATGGTGTCCTTTGCCATGCAGAAGCTTTCTAATTTCATGAGGTCCTGTTTATTAAGTGTTGATCTTAGTGCATGTGCTAACGGTGTTCTGTTCAGAAAGCCTTCTCCTGTGTCAACAAGTTCAAGGCTATTTCACACTTCCTCTTCTAACAAGTCTAGTGTATCTGGTCTTATGTTGAGGTCTTTGATCCACTTGGAGTTTATTTTATGAATGATGATAAGCATATTTTGATTCTTTTACATGCAGCCACCCAGTTTGACCAGCACCATCTGTAAAAGATGCTGTCTTTATTCCAGTATATATTCTGGCTTCCTTATTAAGAATCAGGTGTTCATAGGTGTGTGGATTTATGTCTGGATCTCCAGTTTGATTCCATTGATCAACCCGTCTGTTTTTGTGCCAATACTATGCTGTTTTTACTACTAGAGTTCCATTGTACACCTTGAAATCAGGGATGGGGATACCTCCAGCAGTTCTTTGACTGTTCAGGACTGTTTAGCTATCCTGGGCTTTTTGTGTTTTC